TGTTGGGGAGGGGGCGTGGGCTAAACAGCATGGATGGGGGAATCGAGCATTTGGCCTACTGTATAGGGTTACAATTACAATGAAAATAATTTTCATTATTCTCAGCTGCAGACGGGATTCTTTCCTGTACGAGCAGTGTGAACGTGGATCTGGATTTGAGAGATATGACAGACTGATGGAGAAAAAATATAATAATTGCAAAGAACTTGCGCTAATGGAAATACTAAGAATAATAAAATATGAATAAAAGTTTAGATTGGATAAAAATAAATATATATAAATAGAATGGTCTAAAAAGGATAGGGGAAGCCGCTGAACAAAAAGGTACTCAGCCCCTGCTAGGATGTGGTGTTTCAAAACGTACAGCGCTAACCGTCCTTCAGAGGTGCATATAAGAACTCTGACGTTCAGGTCAGGTTCTAACAAATACTAATTAATAATTGATAATTAATAAAACATTCAGTGAAGGGGTGTGTCCCAAAATATTCAACGTGAATCGGCTGTGTGATAACACATCAAAAACAGACAATATATACCTCAAAACAGACAATATGTAGCTTATGATGGAGAAAAAAGTTTTGGATGTTTATGTATCGGTAACTCCTGGGAGGGAGACGCTGTTCGCCTGATTCACTTCTAGTCGGTCTAGGGGTTGATCTCCAGCTGCCCCCTTTAGCACTAACCGCCCCCCTCTGGTGTCCACAAATTGATGTCCACTCCAGTAGTAGAATGCTATGTAAACAGTTTATTGAACATCTTCTTTGGGAGAGGGGGTATAGGGGTTCTAGGTGTCTAGGGGGAACCATCAGAAGGTCCAGACTCACCGGACCTTGTAAAAGTAGCCATGCAGATCCACCCGACCACATCAGGGGACCACTGATGTACCGGACCAGTGGTGGCGAACCTTGGCACTCCAGCTGTGCCAAAACTACAAATCCCAAGCTGCATCTGCCTCTGGGAGTTATGTCTGTGGCTGTCAGAGCCTTGCAATGCTTCATGGGACTTGTAGTTCCAAAACAGCTGCCAAGGTTCGCCATTACTGTACCAGACCGTCCCGGTGGATGCAGATCCTCAATCCAGGAAAGACACCGACCCTGCTCTGAAGCCCACATAGTTCCAGGATGCTTCAAGAGCCTGCACTGGTCCCGGTTCTCTTCCTCTTTCCATCTCTCAGGCCTCCTCCATGTTGGAGGCCTCAGGGAAACCTCTTCCCTTTTTTTGATTGAAAAATATACTTTATTAATGTAATAAAATATACAAAAACAAGCTATACAATCGGGGTACATTCTACCTCGTACTGCGACGCAGCGCATAAACACCACATAGCAATACAGCTCAATCACACAATAAATTACATTCGCACTGCGGCGAGATGCCTGACGTGTAGCGCAAGACAAGAGTCCTGAGCCCTCCACGTTATTCATGACACCGCATTACCCCGTCCTAAGTCTGTGGTCCGTAGGATCCACATCCAATACCTTAAACTCAATCAACTTCAATAAACCTTGCGGCGCAATGTCTGACGTGCGGAACGCGAGGTTCCTCACATCCTACGTGGCACCGCGACAACTCATCAAGCATAAAACATTAACCAACAACAAAGCATCAGGTGTGATGGGGGAGAGGGAAGAGGGGTAAGGGAGGGGGAAAGAGTTCACAGGCCCGAAGCTTTATTGAAGGACAAGAGACACAAAAAGGAGAGGGGGGGGAAGGGGAAATCTTCTCAGACGTCCTCTTCCTCCTTAAAGTCCATGAGGTGATAGTCTCTGAGCAGACTGATAATCAGTCTGCGGCAGTCCTCAGTGGACATCCTCTCCCTCCGGAGGGTGAGGCGCTTCCTTGCGCACCAAATAGCGTCCTTGAAGCAACACATCACCCGCCAAGCGCCTCCGATTTCTTCTGTAAAAGCGCCGCAAAACAGTCCTTACATCAGCCAATGCCCACCCCCAGGCCTCGGCCTAGCCTGCGGGGCAGGCTGAACAGGACCCAGCCCTAATCCATGGCTGGTCCAGGCGAGAGAGAGAGCACATGGCCGCTCCCACCCATATATGTACACTATCCCAGCAGGCACCACTGACTGAGAGAGGCCCAGTGATTGGCTGCTGTACTGTACACGTAATTACAGTGTCCACTATTGGCTGTCCCACAATATGACAGAATCTCAGCTTGCCCAGGGGTGTACAGGCAATGCTAGACACCTGGGATTAACCATATAGTCTGTCTACAGCCCTAGCCATCACTAAATGCCTTGTAGTCACATCACAGAAGGTGATGGGCGCTACATTTACAAAAACAAAAAGCACGCGGTGTATATATGAAGTTACAGGGATAGAAATATCCAGCAGAATGCTGAGTCGGGATTGGCTGACTGCCATCAGGGAGCAGGAAGAATGTGATGTATGTAGACTGTACAGGGCTGTGCGCCTTCCCACAGCTCATCCCGAGATTCACAAGACGTAGCAAATACTCATCTGGAAATACACCCCGATGTCACTTATCACCAGTGAGGATCCCCACTGAAGCCTATTGGGAGGGGGG